GCCCTGCTGCCACTGTCACCCACCCAGGCGAAGGGGTGAAGCCCCTGCTGGGCTTCTCCACTCTGGAAACGCAGGAGCATTTTTTGGGAGGAATCATTGGGAAAAGAGCAAATCACACCCTGCTCAGCGGCCAGGATGAGGCATGGAGTGGCGCAGGGATGCTGCGAGCCAGGGGCTAGTGGCCCATGGGGTGGCTGGAGCCTGGCTAATGCCCCCGGGTGCCCAGCCCTGTGCAGCGCTGACCCCCCACCCTTCCCATGGGGGCTGTGGGCCCACCCAGCTCCGTGACAGCAGCCCCCAAGGAGGGGCTCAACCCTTTACGCCAGGGCACAGCCCCTCCAGCGCTTACGGATCAGGGACCCCCCCGGGCACCCCGCGCTGGGCTCACCAGGGTGCAGGGCCAAGGCCATTGGCACAGCAAGGAGTGGGTGATCCCATCTGCAACCCAAACCGTGGCCACCCCTGTACCCCCACTTATTTGAGGAGCTCCTGTGGGTCCCCCTGTGCCCCCTCCCAAGGCAGGAACATTGGAACCAGTCACCACTTCCATAGAAATCACCAAAACCCAGGATTGACAGGGTCAGCCCGTTAATTCCCCAACCCCAAGGCAGGAATTGCTGTAACCTGTTCTCCAGAGCCTGGTGATGCCAGAGTGGAGAGCCCAACAAATCACAGAATCATGGAATAGTTTGGCTGGGAAGGGAACTTACAGACCACCCAGTCCCACCCCCTGCCATGGGCAGGGACACCTTCCACTAGACCAGGTTGCTCCAAGCCTCATCCAGCCTGGCCTTGGACACTCCCAGGGATGGGGCATCCACAGCTTCTCAGGGCAACCTGTCCCAGTGCCTCCCCACCCTCTCCGGGAAGAATTTCTTCCTGATGTCCAATCTCCATCTCCCTCTTCCAGTTTAAACCCGTTACCCCATGTCCTGTCACTCCCTGCCCTTGGAAAAAGTCCCCCCCAGCTTTCTTGTAGCCCTCCCAGGCACTGGAAGGGGCTCTAAGGTCTCCCCAGAGCCTTCCCTTCTCCAGGCTGAACACCCCAACTCTCCCAGCCTGTCCCCATGGCAGAGGGGCTCCAGCCCTCGGAGCATCTCCATGGCCTCCTCTGGACTCGCTCCAACAGCTCCATGTCCTTCTGCTGTTGGGGGCCCAGAGCTGGATGCAGAACTGCAGGGGGGTCTCCCCGCCCAGCCTGTCCTTATGTTTGGGTACAGACACTCCTGTAACCCCTTGGTTCCATTCACCCTGTTTCATCCCCCATTCAAGCCCGGGAGCATTTGAAAGAGCCCAAGTAATGCAAACGACTGTCACTTTATTGTCATCTCCAGCCGTACCGCACAAGGCACACAACAAACTTCATTGGTACAAAATAATTCCGCTGCGGGGTCATTCTGTGTAGTTGTTGTCCATTTTTCCTTGTCTTTTCCCTCTGCAGCAGTCCCTGGCTCTCCCATCGCCCCGACGGGATGATCCTTTCACAGAAAGGACTATTTCGTTTGTGCAGACAGACACCTTGTTATCGTGGGGGGAGCGGGACGAAGGGTGGGTGGGCATGGCCACCCAGTCTCCCCCCCAGGTCCCATGTGGCCACCCCGGCCACCTGTGGAATAAATGACCCCTCTGTGTCCCCACGGCTTGCCCAGGACCTGGTCCCACTTGCCCAGGGGGGGAGCTCCATGGCAGCCCCCCCCAGCTACGTGTTCCTGCAGAGCAGTGGGTGAGGGGTCCTGTGGAGGGCACCCCACCCAAGGAGGCTCGCCGGGGGGTGCTGGCAGGACCCCCCCAACTGGGTGCTGTGGCCCTGCTGCCCGGCAGAAGGGAAAAAAAGAGTCTGGGGATGAATTTGGGGGATTTTCCTGCCTGCACTCCCACACTGCCAGTGCACACCCCTGGCATGCTGGCTGGGGGTCTGCAGTGGGGCTAGCAAACCCCAGCATCCCAGCCTGGGGTGTAGTGCCCTCAAAGAGCGGCTTTTGGGATGTTTGCCGGGGTTCCCACAAAACCAGAGCGGGGCACATAGCCCTGAGACCCCAGGCAGCATCCCTCCGCCTGCCCTGGGCGGCTTTAGGGGGTTAAAGAGAGGATTTAGGGGTCACCTCCTCATTCTCACCCTGCCAGCATGTGGCTGTCTACGTTATTTTTCCATAATATCCCTTGTGCCGGGTGAAATTAAGCTCTGGGGTGGGGACACGCTGTGCTGGTGCCACGGTCCCGTGGCGCCAAGCTACGGCAGCGCCCGATGCTCTCCCCTACCAGCTCCCAGATCCCAGTAACACACTTTTTTGTTTTTGCACCATGCCAACAGCTACGCTCCTTTTCTTTGGGTACCAGTTCCCCCTTCTCGGCTCCCTCCCCCAACATTTCTTATAAAACTAAGATTGTGCTTATTTATAAAATAATGACTTTTTTTTTCTTTTTTTAAGAAAAGTTTCCAGTTAAAAAAAAACTTACCAAAATATGGCAAAACTTTGGCTGTCAATCACTAACCTCTAATTAAAAATATTGACTAAAAAGGCATTGTGCTGTGAATATTAGCTGCTGTAACGCTTTTACCCTCCAGTACCGACGCTAAGTATTCCACCTGGGCACGTTCACTTCCCGAGGACACACTCGGAACCCGCCCGTGGATTTTCCTAGCACATCACCACCATCCTTTAGCACAACTATTCAAACCGTAAGAGACGTAAAGACGCATGAAAAGCCTTGGTAAAATACAACGGAGACTGCACCGGGAAGAGCCGCACATACAACGCCGTTGCGTACGTATTTTTCTCGAGAGGAAAAGTCTATTTTCTCACCTTAGTGCTTAGGAAAAAAATACGATTGTTTATAAGGTTCATTAAGGAAGAGAGGCAGATCCTTTGTATAAAAGGTATTTTAGAGCAGAAGTAAAATGCAAATGGGTCTATAAGATCCAGACATATATAAACCTCGATATATTTATATATGTAATCTCTATATATTCAAAGTTTGGGATGCATTATTGCAATATCCTTACAGGTCACCTATTTTTTTTCCATTCTCCTTTGCTTTTTGGTTTTCTTGGGTGGGTGTTTTTTTGTTTGTTTGTTTTGGGGTGTTTTTTTTCTCAAAAAAAAAAAAAAAAAAGAAGGAAAAAACCCAAACTGCAAACGGCTCCGAGAGCAGCCAGCCACCTCGCTGGGACCACTCCGGCATGACCTCCAGCACGTGTTTTCGGAAGAACTGGGATGATGCTCTGCCCCGGCAGCCGCTGGCCATGCCTTTCTCCACGGTACACCGCCCGCGCCTGGAGATGCCCAGCTGGTTATTGCTTAATTCTCCCTTCCCATACTGGCCTTTAGGGTATTTACATTTCTTTGGCTTGACTCAAACACAACAGTCTGGCGCTTTCTCTCCTCTCCAGTGAGGATGGGGACAAGGGGGAGAAGAGGTCACCTCGCCGGGAAGCAGTGGGAAAACACGTGTCGGCTTCTGCTGGCTCAAACGAGTTGTGCTTCTCCCGGTGGATAGAAGACAACTTGTGTTTGGCACAAACGCATCCGGAGGTGAAAGGATGCCGGGGAACTGCCGGTGGGACCATGCCCGGGGGTCTCCATCCCACCCGCCGTCGGGGCGATGCTCTGAACACAACGGTTTCCACAGCATCGATGGTCCCCGAGGCAGGGAGCCCCATCCTCCCCACCAAGGGCGGGCAGCCAGTCTCGCCCACCCCCGCGGCACTCAGACGACGAACTCGGGGACTTCATCGTGGGTGAGATCCAAGGAAAAGTATTTGCTGGTTCTTTTGACGGGGAAGGTCTCCTGGATGTTGATGCACTGCTGGGCCAAGCAGCCGTTGCAGTAGAGCCCTTCCTCCTCCAGCCCGTGGGCGCAGCCGAAGGTGTAGCTCTGGGCCGTATCCTGGCACAGGTTGGCCAACTGCAAGAAGTCCTTCTGGTAGAGCCGAATGTCATCCAGGCTCAGGCTGTGCCGGTCCGTCGACGTCTTCGGTTTCCTGCACGTCGTCTGGGCAAAGCAGAGAGGGGGGTCAGGACCCACCGGAGAGCCAAGGGGGTCAGGGAAACCCAAAACGGTGGTGCCAGCAGGACTTTGGGTTTCCCCAAAGCCCCACCAGCATCACGTACCTGGGGCAGGGAGTCGGTGCTCTGCCCCGGCAGCTTCACCACCGTCTCCGAGGAGCTGGAGGTGGAGGAGCTGATCTCTTTCACAGTAAGCCCTGCATGGAGGAGCGAAGAAGAGGAGGGTGGGAAGGTTACTTCCAGGCTTCTCAGCGCTGCCCTTGGGGTCTTGCCCTTGCCTCAGGGCAACAGGAGGGCCTCAACAGCTCTGCTTACAACCAGCTTTACCTACAAAGCATCCCCAGTTTGCACCAAAATGGCATCCAAAGCCATTCCCGGGGAGCCCTGCACCTTGTAGACCTCCCAGCATGGAGCTGGAAGTGCAGGCGACACTCTGGGCACAGGTGCAGCTCTGGAGAAGCCAGGCTCACGCGTGTGATAACAGCACCCGTGCTCATGGCAACGAGCAAGGGGTCGTCATGAAAACGAGAGCGGGGGCCACCAAATGAGAACGTCGCTGAAATTATGCCCATTGCCCATGGGCAGCTCTTGTCATCGTCCCCCGCTACCTCCAAATCACCCAGCGTGCCTGGGCACACCTCCCTGTGCCACGGGACGGCTGCACATCAGTCCTGCTCCGAGTAGACCTTGCACCTTCCCTGGGCATCCCCTTCTTTTTAGAGTTGTACCAAATTTACCCCAACTCTCCTGTGACCCGCCGAGCGAATGGCTTTTCCCGTTGTCCCAAACGGGTGCCTCGGGCGAATTTTCGCTCTGCCGAACACCAATACTGAGGAATTGGAATTAAAAGTGGCGGCCGCCTTACCCGAGTGCCCGTTGAACTTGCGCGACAGCAGCATGTCCTCTGTGATGTAGACGCACATGTCGGGGCTCACCTCCATCTCGCCAGCCTGCTCCAGCTCCCGGGGATCATCCACCAGCATCTCGATTTCTGCGGGGAGGGAGGAGGTGGGACGAGTCACTGAGGTGCAACCTCCACAACATCCTCCAATCCCAAAATACATGGTGAGGCCCAGGCTGGGAAGCCCAGGCTCAGCTGGAGCCTCACCATCATCCTGGGAGTCCTCCTCCAGCTGGTCCTTCCCACCGCTCTC